ATCATCTAGAACTACATCTGGACTTCCCTGGGCCTCCATCTGTCCTCTGTTTTCTGGATTTTTTTGTGTTGTCTTTGCTAAATTGCTCTGTAGGTGGCACATGAAATGGTTAACACGTGTTCTTGCTGTAAAGTCTGGGGGATATCTGGGCTTGGTATAGTTGATGGGTCTGCCTGCCAGCTGAGTGACAGTGCTTGCAGACAGTTTTCACTGTTCCAGCAGAAATTCCAAGCAGAATTCATAGTACTAGTTCCAGCTTACACTATTTGGATATGGGTGGATATCCCACCTCTTCCTGGGGAGAGGCTGAATTAGGACAAGAATACCTGATCAAACCAGAGAAACACTTTCCCTGAGAGTCCTTATTGAGGGTCTGGTCTCCCTAGCTGTTAGCATCCCAGAATTAATCATTTCTGTCATCCTATTTTCTCTCTGGCTTCCTCCCTCTTCATACTGTCTTTTTTTTCTCCAAGGACCTGGTATGCTCTCTTACTATCCACTGTTTCAACCCCCAGGGGTCCCATTAGTGGGAGATGCCCTAGGAGAGCATGGCTGCTGCCTTATTGCTTTTGGTACAATGGGGCATGCATCACCTGCAAAGTCACATCTCAGTGGGCTTGGGATATTGGTGCTGGGGCAGATCTCAAGTTGGATTTCAGGACCAAACCCCGCCCATGCCATGCTGCTCATCCTGACAGCCATTTCCTGGTGAATTCTTTTGGGTGTCTGATTAATTCTGATTGGTTTAATCCAGGGATTTTCTTGCTTGTAAAAAGAAGGAAAATAAAATATAAATCACAAATATGGGTCCTGTGGTGTGTTTGTACTCTATAACAGATTATATTTATTCTATACCTTGGAGGAGGGTGCGGAAGCAAACTCTTAGAGAGAAAGGTACCTGAACCATACACCTGGCATTCTTATCTTCCAGCACTGGTTTTCACTCCAGCAACATCATGCAGCCATCAGCACAGGGTGAGGACTCTAGTCCTCTTTGGAGACTGATCTCACTAAACTTCTGTCCTCCTTGCACATAAAGATGGAGAGGAGTGATTCTATTTTCTCCTTCTCTGAAGCTGTATCTTCCACATGACAACTGAAACACGTGTTGTTGGGCAGGGATGGTGCATGAGGCTTGACTCCATCCCTCCTAATGAGCTTCTGGAGAGTGGACAGAGTGAACAGGTCTCCTCAGCATGAGATGATGAGAGGCAGGGCAATTCAGCAGCCAAAGGACAGGTGAAAATTCAACATCTATTACTGCTTTTTAAAACCAAACCTCCCAGTTTAAGAAACTACATCTTGTGATCTAGGATTTTTAAGCTTGTTGGTGCTGTGTCCCTGTATAGACAGGTTTCCCTAGAACCTTGCTAGAGTTGGCTGTGACAGTGTAATGGCTAAGTGCAAAGTCAGGCTTAGGAGTGGAAGGTCTGGAAGAGAGGCAGGGAGCTGAGGGTCTGTATTTGGCAACAGCCCTGGAACTTCTTCAGACCAGACTCTGCAGCAAGGCTGGGATTTGTGGTGGTTTGGAGGGAGGGATTTGGAGAGTGCACTTAAATTCCAACTTCAACGTTCTGGAGCAGTCATAAAGTCTCAGCAAGTCCCCACTTTGAGGCAAAGACAGAAGCATTGGAAGCTCATCTGTTTCAGAGTGAACTCTCTCCTTAAAGCACTGAAGAATCCTGCCTGTAAAGCAGGCTACTGAGAGCCTGCTCCATGTTTCATGTACAGGACAGTAAGACCAGAATGAATGCCTAAATTCAGCATAGTGGTTAGGTGTTACCAGTGCCCTGTGCAGTGCCAGAAGTGTCTGCACTGAAATTGGCTTCTATTCCAGGAGTCACTTGCTCCCTGTTTGTGCACCTTTGTTTAAACAGGTGCTTTTTTCCACCTCATTATTCAATTTCCTCAGCAGTTCATGAGCAATGCAGAACCCAACTCAGCAGAGCAGGATTTTCACCAGAATACTACTTTCTCTAAAACATTTTAAAAATAACTTTAGAGCTACTGCAGTTTCCTTTGCAGGTATCTCATCTCCCCATTTCCTTTATCTCTGGCAATGCTTGTATCCTTGCTCTTAATCCAAAACCAGAACTGTAGCCCATGAGGTTTGTACTTTGTATTGGTATCAGTACCTAGAGAGCAACCACTGGTTACAGCTTTGGCTTTTGCAGAGAAGGCAAGACCCACCTTAGCACTGCCATTGGCACAATGTTCTAAATATCTGTTTTGCAGTGCTTAGCAAAGCACAGGCAACAGATCTGATAAAAGTCCCTGTATTCTGGAATAGGGATGCATTGGCAAAGCAACTGCTATATTGGTCACACACACACATATATTCTGCATCCTCCTTATTGAGTCCAGAAGGGGTGGTTCATACCTGAACACATAACTGCCAGAGAAGCTCACACCCCCGAAAAACAGAAACACTCACATGCATATGTGTACACACACAATGTAAAAATTGCACGTAGTGACATTTTGACTTGCTATCCACTGCAATTTCTCTGCCCACATTATTAAGAACTCTACCAGTTCCTTCAAAATATTCTTTCTCAGGCTTAAACTGCAGTATCTGTCGGGTCTGGCTTCTAGAGAGCATTTGGAGGGAGGTGGCTGTGTTCCAGTAAGGAAAAAGTAAAGATAGAGGAAAACCAAAACCAAAACCAAATACTTTTGTACAAAATGCATCAACTTCTCTGCGGCTTAATTTTTGCCTTCTCTGCTTAGGGCTAACAGTATCAAACATCACACTCATTTGTTTATCCTTTAGAAAATTGAGAGGGTGAGGTGATTTATCCTGGGGACTTAGTGGTGTGCATTCTTCCACCCGGCTTTCGATCAACTTTTTGATCAACTCCACTGTTTGAGCACTGACTGCCTTCAGAGGCACAAACCCAGCCCCATCTAGAGGACTGCAACAAAGGTGGTAAAAAGCCTGGAGGGCATGTCCGATGAGGAGAGGTTGTCTAGTTTGGAGAAAAGGAGGCAACCTCAGTGCTCTCTGCAGCTCACTGTGCAAGCGAAGTGGAGAGGGAGATGCAAGTCCCTTCTCCCTGGTGCCCAGTGACAGGGCGCACAGGAAGAGCATAAAGCTGTGCCAGAGGAGATTCAGGCTGAACATTGGGGAAAAATTCCTTACAATGAGGATGGCCAGACATTGGAACAGGCTTTCAGATGAGTGTTTGATGGCCCATGCCAGTCAGTGTCCAAGAGGCATTTGGATAATGCCCTCAATGACATGCTTAAGCTTTTGGTTAGCCCTGAAGAGGTCAGGCAGCTGGACTCGATCTTTGCAGATCCCTTCCTACTGAACTCTTCTGTTATATTCTAACTGCTTGCAGGCCTCTTGCCTGTCTGTTGTCCTCACGGTCAATGGCTCCATGAGAGAAAGGACCACAGCAAAAGACAGCAGCCACATAACTTGTGCCCTGCCACAAGTTGCAGCAGGAGCACAACCCTGCTGAGAGGTATTCACTGCCAAGGCACCCCCTGGCCATGAGTAGCTGGTCACCATGCTGGTCACAGGGGCTGGAAATGGGACTGAGTTGGATGAATTGTGCACACCAAGCCTGGGACATTGTTTTTGCTGTTCCAACATTTTTTTCATTCTGCTTCATTGTCTGTGAGTTGGGTTGTGGGTTTTCGTTTGTTTGTTTGTTTGTTTTCCCCTCAGGATATGAGTTCCCAATCAGTAGTAAGTAGAGAACTCAAAGATGTTTGGACTCTGTTCTCACAAAACAGCTACAGAAATCAGCAGGAGCCAGGACTCTAAATACCATTGTGAGCCCATATGCTTTTATGAGGAATTTGGCTGTCCCCTGGAACTGCTGTGGGTCTACTGTGAACAAACAAATGTCAGCTGGGATTGTTCAGCAGGCACTGCCCGTACTTTTTGAGACCCATTGAAAGAAACGAAGGGCAGCCTGGTGTCAGAGTGATTCCCTTTCTTTCTCTGGTTCCTGTTCATTTGTTTATCCAGGTGCACTTTCACCTTCTTCTCTGCCATTGACACCAGAATCACTCAGCTGAACAATGCCCTGGAACGAAAGAAAATTAAAAAAAAAAAAGAATTTGCATCTGCCCACTCCGCCAAGAACAGAAAAATCTTTTTTTTTTCTTTCTAACATGTCAGTCTTTCCAAAATGAAAAGAAAATATTCCTAAATGTTTAAGATCTCAGTTTAGCACCTGAAGACAAACCGTTTTTTGATATAAAAATGATATAAATCATATAGACGTGAAATGGCTATTACACTAAAATAGAAGAGCTTCCTTAATTTAGGAAGTAGTTCAAGAACCAGATTTTCCTTTGAATTGTGGCTCGGGTAAAAGTTCAGTATAAACAGCAGATAACGGGTTTAAAATTGGCCTGTAGAAAGAAGCTCCCAAACCAGATAGCATGTGTTGCCATTTTGTAGAGAGAAAGCCACAGCCTGTTGGGGTGTGGGGAAAACCACAGGACTCAAGGCATGCAGTTTTTGACCTGCCTGCCTATTGCCCAAACCCCATAGCTCCTGGTGAATGCATGCTGAAGTTGGCCCTGGACTGAACTAAGCAGAGGTGTGTGATACAGCTGGAGTGCACTGCAGTTAAGATTTCCTGTTGAAACTCAAATGCCTGCAGGGCAGAGATAAGAATTCTAGTTTTTCCTTCTCTCTCTGCTCTCCCGCTGGGTGTGGGAGCACCGTGTCAAGAAGCCTAGCACTATGTATATGCAATTTTTGTGTTCAGAATCCAGTCTCCCTTTCAAGACTGAGACCTGCTTAGGGAGATGCAGACGAAAAAGGTTTGGGGACAGTATGACCACAAGAGTTTGAGTTGAGCTCCAGCCGAATGCACACGCCAAGGGGTCGAGCAACAATCCATCTCAGGGCAAAACAATGGAATAGAGGCTGCAGCTGGAACAAGGAGCAGGGGCAGTGCAGTGAAAAGGAAACAAGCTGTTGCTTAGCAAAATAAAAAGTAAACTTGTCTGAATGATGCTAGTGCATCCACAGGGGAGTAGGAAAGCAGAGGCTGGAGGCCAAAAGGACTTGGATTGGCTGGAGAACATCCTGAACGGTACAACCCTGTACCTGGAGCACTATAAACATAGGAATGAGGCAGAAGAAAGGAAACTTTGGGGCTTCTTGTCTGCTTCCTGGGAGAAACGACAAAAACAGCAGGTGGCTTGGAGACCTTGGAAGGAGAGAAGCTGCACTCCATCTTCTCTCCTGACCTGCTCTCCATCTCTCTGGGGCTCTCCCAAGAAAATGTGGACTCCTTTCCTCCTGAGCTGCCTGCTCTACACCCTGGCGATAGTGGCACAACCGTAAGTGCCATTTCGAGGTCTGGTGATTGACAGGTCCAATGCTGAGGGAGGGGCCAGGACGGTAGGGAGAGAGTATGGGACCCTGTGAGTCATCTCCTATAAGGGATAGATATGGGGTGGTATGCATGCCACAAGTCCTGATATGAGCACAGGATCCTTCTAAATGTGGGAATTTTTTCTTTGAATGTTGCTGCAGTGCAAGATCCACGTGAGGACTGTCAGTGGGAGTTAGAAGAACATGGGTCTGCAGCCTGAGGCAGTCTTAAGGGAAAGGTGTAGGATAAAGAGAAGGGCAAGAGGTTTAGGGTTGCAGGGCTGAGAATAATTAAGCAGGAACCAGACTGCTGCCAAAGTAATTGATGAACCTTCTCGAAGCAAGAAAGGTGGATCCTTTTCTCTTGAGGCTGCAGTAAAAGCTGTAGAGAATCCTGCACTTCTGATGTCGGAGTCAAACAGATCCATAATCACAGAGAGCTTTGGAATCAGAATTACACAGCTGCGACTTCCTGAGTGAATACAGCAGTTTGGTTTTGGATCCAAGTCTTAACTTTGAAACTTTTTCCATATCCCAGTCCGATAGTACTGTTCCCTTTTCCCTGTGTACTGGGAAGCCCTTAAAAAAGAGTTTTCTTCACAGAGGCAGAGATGGTCTCTGCTGTAAATGCTTCCTTGTGCTACTGTAGCATGCTCCAGAATTCCATACACACCAGCATAATGTGAGGTCACCTCAAAGCATTTTTCACGTAGTCTCCTGAAATTTATTATAACCTTTCCATCAATACTGGGAGGTGCACATTCTCACTGTTAATCACCTCTCCCTCTCCCTAAGCAGAGAAGTTGCTCCTGGAAAAGAGGTAAACCCTGCTGCTTCCTCAGACCATGGAGTATTAGTCTCAAGGCAAAGAGACTAGCTGATCGTCTTGTTTCCCCACTGCAGGAAGTATTTGATTATCCTCCCAGCTGAACTGCCCTTCCCCTCCTCCCAGAGGGTGTGCTTGGACCTGCGTGGTGTGGAGAAGCCTATTCGCGTGGCCTTAACTCTTGTGCATGCCTCTGGCAACATCAGCATCTACCGCAAGGTTGTCCGGAACAACTGGATCTTTGAGTGCTCCAGGTTTCAGGTAAGGACCATTTCTGGGAGCAGCCTGTAGCTAACAGCTCCCAAAGTGCTCCTTTGGCTCATGACTCCTCTTGCCAGAGAAATGGAGAAGTAGGAGGACAGGAGGAGAGAGGGCATGGAAAGGAGTTAATGTAAAGTCAGGCAGAGTGTTTAGTGGGAGCTTTGTGTCTTTCCTCCCTGCCTCTGTCTGTCTGCATGATATTGTTCCTGTTGGGTAGCTTACTATCCACCCTGGTGGCACAGTTCACCACGGGTGCCTGGCCAGTCACCAAAGGACTGAGGAAGGTAGAGGAGCTCAAAAGCACCCAAATGGCAGCTGTTACCTAATTCTCTCCACTAAGAAGGATGCAGTGTGACAGGATGTCATCTGTGCACTGTGATGCATGCAGAAGCAGACCTTTTAGCTCAGGCACTCTCCCCTCACACCTGCATCTCCCTAAGCTTCTCTTGTAAAGTGTGCTTCGGGACTAGGAAGGGCACAGCAGAGTGTTTGCACAGGCTCAATACGAGGCTTTCTGATCTGCCATATTTTCTTTCAACCTTATTTTCTTTGTGCTGGCAAGTAAGAGTTAATAAGCCCCTGAAGGGACACACTGTGCTGGCCTTCAGAATAAGGTGGGGAAGAAGAAGGCATCACAGTTCAGGATGTGCGACGAGAAGAGCATATGCTCTAATGCCATCTTGTCTTCGCCTGCTCCCTGCTAACCTGGCGACTTCTCTTCCCTGTCCCAGGTCCCCAAACCTGCAGGCAGCCAAGAGGTGGGCACTGTCCAGCTGCAGATCTCCAATGGCCACTATTTCAGTGCAAAGGAGGAGAAGCAAGTCCTGATTCGTAGGACTGGCACTGGCACCTTCATCCAAATGGATAAAGCCATCTATAGGCCAGGACAGACAGGTGAGGGCTCTGCATGGAGCACCCTGGCAGCTCCCCTGCCTTGACCTGTCTGTATTTTGTTCCCCTTTTCCCTCGAGGGCTGTGCTTGGTGTTTTGGGCCTTGTAGTCCTAGCTGGGACAGAGGGAGAAGCTGTGTGTGACCAAGGAGGCCTCTGCCACCACCTGGAGCACCAGAGACCATTCATGCTTGTGTTTCAGGGAAGGGAGGGGGCTGGAAGCTGTGGTCTCACAGGCTGCAGGAGCAGGCTTTCCAGCCACAGGCTGGGGACAAAGCGAGATTTTTGTGTCCCCCCTCCTCAGCCTCTCCCATGGGTGAGTGGAGCCAGCGGGTGGGACAATCTGTCAAAAAGCAAAGCAGGAACGCCACAGCCTGCTGTGTGTGGGGAGGGGAGAAGCAGTGAGCAGGGCTGAGTGAGCACCAAGAGGGGGCTGCAGGCAGGCGTGGGGCCAGCAGAGCCCAGATTTGGGGTTGAGGCAAGCACAGGTTTAGCCCCGCCTTGAATGTACTGTCTCTACAACATGCTCTTCTCCTTTTCTCCCTTCAGTGAAATTTCGGATAGTGACATTGACTGAAGACTTTGTCCCCGTTAACAGCAAGGTAAAGACTGTCTAAGTGGATGCAAGGAAGTCTCCAGACTTCCTCTGCCAAGTCTGCCTCCTCTGCCAGCCCCACGCTGTGCCTGCAGACATGGTCTGTGTGTCTGCAGTACCCAAGGCAGCAGACGCTGACCTGTTACCAAACCTTGCTGAGTTCGGTCTCCCAGCTGCATTGTCGCTCTGACAGGACGGTTGTTGGCTGGTGGTATCTCTGGTATGGCTGCTGAGGTTTGGGGAGCATGCCAGCGCTGCCTGCTAGCTGAGTTGGGAGCTCAGAAGCTGCTTGCACTTTCCCCTTGCCAGAAAAAAAGCTGGCTTCTGAGGGAATCTGCAGGCTGCTGGCTGTGGGCACGGTTACCAGACGGGCTGTGCCCAGGCTCAGTCAGAACTGAGTTCTGCAGCTTTGTGCAGTGTGTTGCTCTAATGGATGGTGGGAGGGGTCTGCAGCAAGCCACAGCATGTCTGCAAAATTTTAAGAAAAATTAATTGATATGGGAAAGGATGCACACAAACTGATTATAAAAAGAGACAAGAGAGAAGGCAGTATAAGCGAATTATACTGACTTGCTGCTGGCAGCAGCTTGTTCTGCCTGAGTCAAGGAAGTGAGAAGTTGCCAGAGACTTGCATAGGTGCTAGCCAGGAAACTGCAAGACTAGCATCTCTCTACAGTGAGCAATTTTACCTGCTGCCAGCGGCTGTAAATATCTCACATTCCTCTGTCCTGAAGCAATTTAAGGAGAGCCAACTGGAATTCATGCCACGATAGATAAATGCTGAGGGGCACAAGTGTGCAGAGCGTTAAATCAAATCCGTCCAGACTGAGATGAAGGGAGAGATCCTTCTGGCTTCTTTAGTGTTGACTTAATTTCCCCTTTTTTTTGGTTATTGATGAGAGCCTAGGATCACGCACTCACTTCCTGGCCCAGAAACAGAAGGCATCTGTCTTATATTAGTTAGGTAATAGAGTAAGCAATACCTTTGCTTCCATGCCTGCATTTGGTTCATGAAGATAATTGGCCATAAATGTTTGGTGGCTATGTGTAAGTGTGAGTAAATTAGCATTATAATTGTTAATAATGCTGTGATGAAAATTCAAAAGAGGTCATATTTAACCAAAGCTATTATGAGGCTTGAGTGCACTGCAACATTAAAGCCATAATATCTTGTTTATGAATTAGGTGGGTTGGTGATAACACAGGTGCTGGTCACTGGCATGTTTTGTTTAGCATAGACAGTGGATTTGGTTATATAAATAGTTAAGCTGCACTTTGTTTGTTTCAATGAAAACAAACATGTCCATGATAACCTGCATGAAAGTTCAGAATGATGAATAATGCGAATCAAATGTAGCCTTCTGTTTACAGACCAGTTACTTTCTCCAGTCCCCTGATCCTGCCTCCTTATGCCTCACTCTCCTTACACCACTACTGCCTCCTGGCTGACAGTTCCTATGATATAAGGACAGCGTTAATAGACACAGGAGGCCCTTCTTTGTGCCTGCCTGGATGTGCTGCTGCAGTCAGCAGCATTACCTATCCCCAAGCCTTACTTTCTAAGCCAGGGACTTTACAGGAAATTATGGGGTTTATTCATCCTATAGATGATGCGGTTTTGCTACTTGCTGGGATTTGTATTACAAAACTGATGTCTTTTAATATTTATGAGTTTGGAATGATTGTATTTGTGAGTATCTCTAATTTTCTCTTTCTCTCTCTCTCTCTTTTTTTTTTTTAATAGCAAACTGTAGCTTTCATGATCACAGAGTAAAGCTTGAATATGTCTAAATGCATCTTACAAATATATCCATATTATTTCAAAACCAAAAATCTCCATGTATTGTAATGTTTGGGACTGTCACGTGGGCTAAAATAAGTCTATATGTAGGTTGGTATATCATGCCAGCTTCTGACATTGCTATCTGTTTGCTTTGCAGTACTCCATGGTGGAAATCCAGGTGGGTGTGTCGGACTCCCCAAGTGTTATGAGGAAAGGTACTTCAGGAGGGATATTTAGGCTGTTGTCTTACTGAGTCAACTTACTTTTCTCAGGGTCAGTGTAACATGTGTATGCATCCACATGATTGTAAAAAGCATTGAAGAGACAAATTGTTCATTCCTTTCAACATTCAGGAGCTCCATCCAGATTTTAGCTAACTCTTACAGTTTATCCTTATATTAAGACTGGAGACTTTAAATATCGGGATCTTTCACACTTTCTTTTTCAAGGGCAGTACAATGTAGAGTAACCCTTGGTATGTTGGGCTCATCTCTGTTGGTGTTTCAGTGTTCAGGTTGCTGCAGCACCTCCCATTAAGAAAGCCAACAAACAAACAAACAAAACAAACAAACAAAAAAGGATCCTGTGAAAGCCTCTGAAGTCTCTCAAACTTTGAATCCAGTGGGCTTTGGGAACAGAACAGCAGATGTTTTTAATGACTGTCTCTTGTCTCCTTTCCTCCAACTGCAGGACCCAAACCAAAACCGCATTGGCCAATGGCTGGATGTGAGACCCAAACAGGGCATTGCAGATCTCTCTTTCCAGTTAGCTACTGAACTCTCTCTGGGGACTTACACCATCAATGTGGTGAACCCAAAAGTGTCCAGTACATTTAAGGTGGAGGAACATGGTAAGATGGAGTATGGAGAATGAAGAATGGGATGGAAGAATTGCTTATTTCTGTCCTTATAACAATATGCAGCCAAACACCGTAAACTAAGTTTTACTGTCTGCGAGATAGATTTCAACAAAAATGTATAGAGTGGGCAATATCACAAATGTCAACAAGGGAGATTGTACTGGAGATTCCTGGAGAGGGCATCTAGTAACAAGAGTTACTAGAGTGTCACAGAGAGAGAATAAACCTAAGACCTCTGTAGCACTTCATAGGTTGGGGGAAAAAAGGAGATTCTTCCATTAGTTTCCCTGTTTTAAAGTAATTTTAATTTCAAAATTTTAATTAGCTTTTATTTCATGAACATGCTCCTTTACAGGACTCCAGCTTTATGGTAACAAACTCTTCCCTTTCATGATCCATGTCTAGGTAGCCTGCTGCCTTTGACAGAGTAACTTTGTGTTTTTTGTTCCAGTGTTGCAGAAGTTTGATGTTTTCTTTGAAGGACCAGTTCAGATTTATGCTTCAGATAAAACCTTCCCACTGCGTGTATGTGGCAGGTGAGGAGACAATCCTGGAGAAAGGAAACAGCTCATCAACATCTTGTCTGTTCTTCCACACGTGTACTCTCTTGAGTCCATCAAGGAGAATTGGCTAAAGAGGGGTGAAAAACAAGCATTGCTTTCAAAGAATAATAGATAGTACAAGAGCCTAACTGTTTGGTTCTTGCTTGGGATGGAGGTACCTGAGCCACACCCTGCTCTGGAAGCTGTGTCCGTCTGGCCTTGGTGGACCTTGTATGGGGAAATATGCATATCTGATATGGGACTGATCTGTTGAAGTACAAGGATCAATACAAGGTTCTCATTTTATTTTATGCTGCTGAACTTATTTCCTTCTTAGTAGCAGTGTTTCTCTAGTTCTGTAATCATTAGCAAACACTGAGCAGATGAGGGTGTGAAGGCAGGCATGACCTCAGAAGGTGTAAGCACAAAGGAGGAAGGAGAATGCTCTGGAAAGCACTTTGTGGACAGATAAAGGAGGTGAACAGAGACACATTTGGAGCTGTTTTTTTCTGAAAACTTTTGCTGCCTCTTTGCTGTTGAACAGGTATCATTTCTTATTAAAAAAACATTTCAAATCAGAGCATTTAAGTTGCTAATAGAAAACGGCACAGCACTCTTCATCACCAGGGTAATTCATGGATGTCTTCCTGTTACTGGTGCTGTTAGGGAACATTGCTCTGCAAGAGAAGACCAGAGAGGAGCTGAAGCACAGAAAGTCAGCAAGGCAGTCAATGGAAAAGTCCACATTGACAAGGGCATGGCTGTGCTATAGTTGAGGAAAGGGAAGGAAGGAAGGAAGGAAGGAAGGAAGGAAGGAAGGAAGGAAGCAGAGCCAGTCTGAGTCCGATGATGGAAAGAAGAGTCCAGATCATAAGATAAACCCATGGTGAGGAGGAAGGACTGAGGTGAATCCTGGAAGTCAAGCCAGTGCGTCAGGCTCACAAGCAGTGCACTGGCATAGGTATAGCTATAATGTAGTTCAAGGTCTGGAGCTTAACTATAGCTCCCAAATTAATTGGGGAAGCCCCAGTGAAGCTTCTAACAACACCCTGTGAATAGGGGAAAGAGGTTGCAAAGCCTGCTGGTTCATCCAAGGCTCTGACAGGTACTGCTGCAGAGGTTCTTCCACCTCTGCAACTAAGTAGACCTGTTAAAAGCAACACAGAAAGCCTGCTGGATAAACAATAGATTTTTCAAACCACAGAAAATGAGTTTTGCCCTTGCTCTACCAACCATCCCACCACCTCCTGAGTTACAGTGACCAAGGAGTCAGTGTGACAATGGAAAATGTTTTTGATTTGGGTGTGTCTGCTGTGGGGGCTGAGACAAATGAGCTGGGGCTGCTAAGGCCATCACCAGAAGGAGAAATACCGTAGCTCTATTAATGTCATATCGTGCACATTTTGTTGATGTGTACAAGGACATAGGCTTCTGCTCCTTTCACACCCGAGCCATTATCTCCAGTTGGTTCTGCTCCATGCTGTGTGCACACAACTCAGGCCAGCTCTTTTCTTCTGCCTGCAGTTCCAGAACAGAAAGCACCCAGAAGTGAGAGAGCTTTGGAAAGCATGGTCCCATTTTTTTTTGCCTAGGCTCTGTGTCTGACTGTGTTGGATGCAAGACTGTGCACTCCCTAAATATACTCTGTACTGTGTTTTTGTTTGTGCCTGCTTGCTTACAAACTGAATGAAGACGGGCATCAGGAAGCCCACCTGTGTGTAGCAATGTGCTCAGCAAACCACAAAATTCTCCTCAGCGTCTCTGCTTGGCAGCTCATCTGGTGCTTTCCCTGCAGGTACCACTATGGGAAAGCAGTGCAAGGGACCATGAGGGTGACTTTGTGCCAGAAGGCGAGGAGGCGTCTTCAAAATGTCAGCAAGGATATTTGTAGAGAATACAGTGGTCAGGTGAGTAAAATCCTGGGGGATACGTGGTTGGTGGAAGAGCACCACATATGACAACGCGTGACAATGCCTGAGAGAATGGAATGAGCTGCTACTTAGGAAGGTTTGCCAACCTCTACCTGTAGACTAATCTGTAAACATTTTTATTCAGTTAATGCAGTTATGGTTACCCTGACCAACTGAGATACCTTTACCCCTAGAAGTTCTTTGTGAATTTGTTTATTAAGGATAGGGAATAGAAGAGAGGAAATCACATGCAGACCTTAAAGTTCAGTTCTTTTCTGTAAAGAAGCATAAATACCCAGGAATTGATATAGTGCAAGAAACAACAGGTGCAAAAATTCTCGGGTGCAAAATACCATGTTAAGGTGAACTTACCCTGGAGATGCATAAGGTTACCAACGTACAGTGTAGACAGTTATTTCCACAGCCAAATCATGTACTGACTTTTTTTTTTCCACCTTATTTCACTCTTTTCATCCTTAACAAAACATGTCATAACTGGACTCTTCGTATCTGCATGTATGATTAAAACTTTTCATGTTTTATGATTTGTCATCAGGACATATGGTAGTTGTAATCTTCCAGCTCTGAAAACGATAAGTTACTTTGATTCTGTAGATTCATTTGATTCTGCAGTTTTCCTAGTCAGATCTCTTGAAATACTAATATACCTCCTTTGTGATCCAGTTAGTGCAACCTTCAGTTTTCTGCTAAAGCTGGAAAGTTACCAACATTGCACACTTCATGCAACTATGGTGATTTGTTTTATATTTCTACAATATGAATTACATGCATGTATACATATAAAATAGCAAATACCAATTTTAAAATGTGAACACTTTCTATCTGACTGAGTCTGCATTATTACTTGTTGCGATCAAGTTATGACAGAATGATTAATATTGTGTACTTCTAACTCCTTCACTTCTCCCCAGCCTCAAATATCTACCATTTCCCATTGCAGACAGTGAGCAAGGGGTGCTTCACACCTTCTGTAAGCACGTCGGTGTTTAATCTGGCTCCTAGTGAGGAGGACAGCAAAATCTATGCAGAAGCTTCTCTTCTGGAGGCAGGCACAGGTACCCATAAGGTCTGCTTACAGTCATTTGGTGTAGAGATGGTACAAGGATGAGAGTGTCTGTACCTGGGGTGTGAAGGTCAGAGCAGGCACACCTCCTCCTCTCCTCCACACTGCTGGGGCCATCACAGGATTTGGTGCTCCTGCTTGAGGAGCTCACTGCATCTGCAGAGAGCTGCTCTGCCAGCAGCAGGCAGGTGAGTAGTGTCTGGGAGCTTGGTCCATGAGGCCAAAAAGGGGCTTAGAAACACCTTAGCTAAGGAATGAGCTGCCACGGAAACAGCCTCTGTACATTAAATATACTCGTACTGGGAATTTTGAGATGCTTCAGTCAGAAGGCCTGGGCATAACAAAGTGAGATTAAACTAGGGTACGGTAGTCACCTCTGATAATGATCTTGCATCCCTTGTACTCTGCATTCCAACAGGGGTCCAAATCAACTCCTCCAGCCAAATCCTCATTTCCAGGACAGCTGCACGGGCAGTGTTTGAAACACCAAATGCTTACTACATCCCCGGAGTACCCTACAGGGGGAAGGTGACTTTTCCCATACTTCTTCCCTCCCCATCATTTACCAATGAATTTAGCGTCTAGCAAATTTTTCTGACCCAAACCATTTTCTGTTCCTCAGAGCAGTTTTCCTTTCATTGTGTCACATTACTTGATAGGTGCAGCATGGCTCCAGTTTCTGCATTTCAGATTCCCTGGTGTGATTACACTTCTGGCTTCTGTTGAGAGCACTGAGTGATTTTTGCTGGAATTTCTCAGCTGTTGGCTAGGAGCTGAGCTCCTTATGGTCTAGTTACTTGCTGCTTTTGGGGAGGATAAAACCACCCTCAGCTTAACTTTACAGATGAGGGAGTTTTACAGGTCTGCTATCTTCCTGGGGCCAGACTGAAGCCAAGGCCACCTAAACAAGAAGGAGTATGCTTGACAGAGGAAGGAAGGTTTGGCTATGACACTGTGACTGACATCTGACTTTGGCTTTTCTGTCCTTCCCTACTGTCCCCAGATTAAGCTTCAGGATCACCATGGAAATGGTATGAAAAACAGAAAAGTTTATCTCATAATAAAGTTCATGAGGCGTCGGCTTATCAAAATGTATATCACGGATGGCAATGGAAGAGCATCCTTCAACCTGGACACAACTGCCTGGAACAGCTCCTCAGTCTTTTTGGAGGTAAATCTTACCCCTGCACACAGGAGAGTGAAAAGCATCAAACTCTGCCAGTGCTCCCCGCTCCTGCCTGCAGCCCCCTGACAGCTTGGTCCTGGGTTCCCCACACAGTTCTGTTGGTGTAGAGCCACGGGGAAGGTGTCAAGCAATGGCTTTTCCCAAACCAAGCTAATGACATCCTAACCTAACAAAGCACTGAAGTGTGCAACTCCCATGTCCTGATTTCCGTATGTCTCTGATCTCCTCTCAGGGAAGGTTTACGCTGGAAGATCTCACACATGCACCCTGGAAAACTGGTGTCAGTTACACAAATGCTTACCATCACCTGCAACCCTTCCATGTCACAACGAAAAGCTTCCTGGACATACACCCACTCACAGGAACACTGCCCTGTGGACTAAAGCAGAGTGTCCAGGTGACCTTCACACTCAGTCGGGATGACCTGGGAGAAGACACCAGCCGGATAGGTTTTGCATATTATGTGAGTGAAGGTAGTAGAGAACTGAGGTGGGGAGGGATGATGATATGGGCTTGTTCTTGGAGAACTCGGGGAACTCTACCCCTGCATAGAGCTCACCCTTCTCACCTGGGTCACCTTGGATTGGACCCACAGTTTATTTCTGTGGTTGCTTAAGAGTGCAAGATGCACACAGGGCAAGCGTGAGTGTGCCCTGGTGACAGACAGCAGTCTGCTCACCCAGTGTCCTCTTCCCTCAGGTCACTGGGAAGGCTGGCATTGTTGTCAGGGGACAGAGGAGCGTCCAGGTTGGGAAGCTGAACAGTAAGTCTGCAGTGGCCTGACTGAACAGTTGGGCCTGGTGGGTTCCTAGGTTGGATGGGGAAAGTTAGTGGAGTTTCTCCTGAACTCCCTGAAGCTACAGCTCCTGGGCAGTCAACAAACAGGGTGGATGGAGACAAGGAAGCAATTATATCAGCTGGGAGAGGACAAAGAGACAGAGTGAGTGAAACAATGAAGGGAGGAGAGACTGGGAGGAACCGTGTGGAGATGGAACACACAGGGTTAAAGAACAGAAGGAGAGAACAGAGAGAAAAACAGAAGGAATTAGTTTGATACTGTGGGATTATAAAGCAGAAAAAAGGAGACCAGAAGAAGGTCTCAGTGGGGCTGTGATGGAAACACTTTTCTTTTCCTTCCTCAGTGTTGAAGGGCTCCTTCTCCATCCCTCTGACCTTCACTGCTGACTTCACCCCGTCACCTTCTTTAGTGGTGTACGCTATCTTCCCCGGTGGAGGGATAACAGCAGATAGCATCCGCTTTGATGTTGCCTTGTGCTTTGAAAATGAGGTGAGACTCACACCGAGAGCTGAGGGACAGCTGACAAGCTGGAGTCAGCAGGCTATGGAAAGAAAACACTCAAATCGTTCAGAGAACTGGGGAGAAGAGAGGAAGGGGATGTCTGGAGCACAATGCCCAGGGACTGGGATCTTCCATTTAGCAGTGACTTCTATTTGTAGCAGAGGTTGAGCCGGGAGGATGTTAATTGAGCTCCCTCTTTCTGTCTGCGCCTTGTGTCTGTCAGCCTCCTTACCCCTCTTTTTCTCTTTTTTATATTTCCTTTCTTGGTGTGCTGCTCAAGGTCAAAGTAGGTTTCCTGGCTAAAGAAGCCCACCCAGAGTCAACAGCGCAGCTCCGGCTGCAGGCAGCCCCCGGCTCCGTGTGTGCAGTACAGGCCGTGGATGAAAACATGTTCCTTGTGAGACCAGAGAGTGAGCTGACAAGCCAAATGGTGAGTGTCTGTGCAGCCAGATAAACAAAGAAACAAACAAACAAACACCACAAAAACATAAAAACAACCACCAACAAAAAATGGACATGATATATGAGCTGGGCAAATACAGGCAGGGCTGAGGCTAAAGGGTGAGGGGGTCTTTGTGTGGAGGAGGAGTGAAAGTAATATGTGGGGTCTGCCTTAGAAAGATGGCAGGCTGTATGTTGGGGAGGTTGTAGTGAAGCATTTGGAGATATCTGCTCCTGGCCTGATTCTCCCCTGCCTGTGAGTTTTCGTAGGTCTATGGCTTGTTCCCTGCTATCTACAGACATGGGTACCCTGCCCAAGTTGAAGAGTATCCAGATCACTGTGTTCAGCCCCACTCCACGTCACCTCTGCTGCAAGGGAAACTGCAGCATTCCTTTCAGCCTGACATCTTCAACCTCTTCTGGGTAATCATCTCTGTCTTTCCCCAGTGAAACACTTGTTTAGAGTCCTTCTGAGAAAGAAGGAACCAGGCATGTTGTCCATTCAGGCCAGTGTTGACCTGGACTGTCTGGGCAGCTGGCTGTCCTAAAAGTGATGGTTTTCAGAGTCATTTTGAGGAAGAGTGGCTGCCCTTCCCCACTCACAGCTGCTTTTCTTTTTCCCCTCCCCTCCTTCTTTCTCCAACAGAACATGGGTCTAAAAATCTTCTCAAACCTTGCAATCAGGAAGCCAACTCAATGCTCTCATCGGGCAGGTAGGAAGCCAACAATGGGTGAGCTGAACTTTCAGACTATACCTGTGCCAGGACCTGAGATCACATAGATGGAAGAGCTTTCTGATCGCTGGGGTTTGCTGGTGGTGGATGTTAACATGCTGAGGTGTAACAGATGCTGCTGCCACAGCCTCACTGCCAGGTCTGTCAGACCTCAGCAGGAACAAATAGGTCACTTTTTTAAAAGCTTTGAAAAATTCCCCTACCTGCATGTTCCCTGACATTAGAGGATGGCATTCCCTTTCTGGGCACAGACAAACCCAGTGGTTACTGAAGGGGAGTATCTCCCTTTCATTACACCACAAACTGTGCTGTGTTCTGGCTTGTGTTCCCACCTGTGGCTGCAGGAACTGTCACCTTCTTCCTTAATGTCTCACTTTGCACTAGGTGATTATACCAAGCTGCCTTATCTGCCTGCTGATATTGAAACTACTATTGTTTGCAGAGGTCTCTGCGTTTTCTGCAGACAAGCAAACGGAATATTGTTACTCCCAGAATTACAGAAATGTTGGTTTAAAAGGGCCCTCTAGAGGTCCATAGTCTCTTTAACACCAATTTTGGGTCAGATTGGGAAGAGGCTTTGCCTAGCCAAGACTCAAAATTTATAGCCACAGCCCGCTCACTGCAAACTGATCTTCCTGTTACCATTTTCTTCTCCTTCCTATTTTCCCCCTCCTACCAACTCAGCTCACTCCCTTGTGTATTGCTCTGCCTGACTCACATCTGTTACTGCTTGCTTTGCCTCTTGTCCCAGTGCTTGGCCGTCAATCATTGTCAGGGCTCACTTCTTCCACTCTTGTGGGAACGTTATTCTTTCTTTCAGGGGGTCCTTCTATGGAATACAGGAGAATGACCAAGGAACAAACCCAATTAACAACCCAAGGAAGATTTCACCACTATTTGCCTGAAACTTGGATCTGGAATCTGTTCTCTGTTGGGTAAGTGATGCTAGACTTTACAAATGGACAGAGGGATGAACCCTTTGTTATTGAGTTTTGGCTGACTTGTATCTGTTCAAAAAAGCCATCCATAGGCGTAAAGAGAGGTCTGCATGTAAATCTTATGGCTCTTCCCTGCACTTAAAGTGCATCAGAATGAAGGACTAGCAGACTTCAAGGAGCAAAACTTTAGTCTGCTTAGTCATGCTTAGAAAACAGCAATGTTCATGATCAAACCACCAAGTATCCTCTCCTCACACAGTGGTGTACACTCTACTGATTTCCCAGTTTAGTGGGCACACTGTCTAAATGTATAACCTTTGTTGCCACAATGCTTGGATTGGGACTGATGAATCAGCACACAGGCGAATGTGGTACTTCTGCTTTCCTCGACATTATGCTGTTGACTGAGTGTCTTGCTCAGGAAGAGGGTATAACTTAATCACTGGAAGCATTTAAGCAGCAATTATGGCTTTAAGGAACAGATTTCTGATATCTGTCTTACCCTGAGCCACTCGAGTGGGAGTAATTGATGAGAGGGCAGAGGTTGATCTCAGTCTGAGGATCTGCACAGCATCCCTGACCTGGTGTCCTGAGCTCTTCCTATTGCAGTGGGGTGGGACAGACTTCCTTATGCAAGTGCTCTTTTCCTCTCAGCTCCAACGGGAGCAGGAGCATCCCAGTCACAGCGCCTGCTGCTGTCGCTGAGTGGAAAGTCAAGACATTCTGCTTGGCTGGGAGGGGGTTTGGACTTGCCCCGACCACAAGTCTCAGAACAGTACAACCTGTGTTTGTGGATGTGACTTTGCCATATTCTGTGATACAAGGAGAGACCTTCACGCTGAAGGCTACTGTTTTCAACTACCTGCAGCAGTGCATACAGGTATGTGCTTGTGCCACAGCAAACACTGTATGGGACAGGCCTATCATGCCTTCCAGTTTTACAGCAAATGTACCACACCATCTCTCCCCAGTTGCCCAGTCATTCTCCTTCGTTGGCACTCTTTTAGATACAGGTATCCCTGGCTAAATCCCCAGACTTCCAGGTGGAGCTGTGCCGGACCTGCAGGGACAGAGAGTGCCTCTGCGCAGAAGAGTCCAAGACCTTCGCGTGGAATATGACAGCAAGCCAGCTGGGTGTGGCAATCAGAACGGGAGCAGTGGTGGGGAGCCCTCAGAAAGATCTGCAAGGGAGTGGGAGGTCCAGAAAAGCTGGCAGAGCCTTGCCTTCCCTGGATCCCAAAGCTTATTTTTAGTGGTACAAGAATGCAAACCATCATGGTTGCTTTCTTTCTCCCTTCTTAGATAGGCTTATCAGAGAGGGTGGGAACTGAATGGGTAACGTGGAGAACTCTTGGGGATAGAGGTGTAGAACCAGCATGGGAGGAACAGGCTGCATGTATGTGACTGGGAGAACCCAGTATAGCTGGTGCTGTGCTTCATGTGCAACGGGAAGGGGTCACTGGGGTCCAAGGGGCTGCCAAACCTTCTCACACTATAGTCACATGTAGAGTACTAAGGTCACTGTTGGTGAGGCACAACCTAGCCCCCTCATACTTAGAGTGTCTGGACAAACCATCGGCGCTGACTGGCCCATCTTTACTGGCCACTGAAGCTGGGAGGCTCAGCCCCCTGAAGCACCTCAGACCACTGTCAGTTAAAGCAAGTTGACTCTGTTTGGCTACGGACATAAGAAACAGACTGTTCAATTTATTTGCTAGGGACTCTGAATATCACAATCAGGACTGAGGTACTGGACACCACACCACGCTGTGGGGACAGGAAGCCCCTGCCAGCTACCACGAGGCGGAGGCATGTTCTGGTCAAACACTTGCTGGTTCGGGTCAGTATAAGAGCAGGCTCACTTCTCTCCCTGAATGTCCTTGCCCCAGGTGAAAGGAGACTGAGCCGGGCTAAACAGTTTTCTCTCTCTTTTTTTTTTTTTTTTTTTTTTTTTTTTTTTTTTTTTTTTTTGTCCAGCATTAACATACCAAGGCCTGGGCTTGGTTTACTCTGTTCCCCCCAAGACCTAGCCAGGCCTATACCTTTCTTGCACTACTCTTTTTTGAGCTGTATTTGTATGCCGTACCTATGGTTCTCCCTATACGTTCTCCTGCTCAATGACCAACCATACATGAGCTTTTGTATCTGCTCGCTGACTAGAGTCCTGTCCCTCAGACTTGCTTTTGCTTTCTTGATCAGTGAAGCAGACAGTTTCAGTGCAGCCCTGCCAAAGGTGAGGAGGAGTCCCTGAGAGCGTGGGAACTAAAAGTTGAATTCAGACCTGCTCTGCAATTTTACTGCTGTTTGGGAATTTTGTGTGTAATCTTGTTTCTTCTGTCTCATATTTATGTTCCTGCCATGGCAGCCAGAAGGTGTGCTAGTGGAGAAGTCTTACAGCTCCATTCTGTGCCCAAGAGGAGGTACGTGGACAGTTTGAAATAACTAGACCTGGATATTATTCAGGTCCTGCAGCCTGAAATAACTAGAATCATAGAATGTTTTGGGTTGGAAGGGACCTTAAAGATCACTTAATTCTAACTGCCCTGCCATGGGCTGGGACACCTTCCACTAGAACAGGTTGCTCAAAGCCCCATCCAACCTTGCCTTGAACACTTCCAGGGATGGGGCATCCACAGTTTCTGTAGGCAACCTATCCCAGTACCTCAAGACTCTTATCTTAAAGAATCTCTTCCAAGTATCTAATCTAAATCTACCCATTTTTAGTTAAAAACCATTTCTCTAGTCCTATCACCAAACTCCCTGATAAAGAGTCTCTATTGAGCTTTCTTGTAGGCCCCCTCTAGTTACTGAAAGCCTGTTGTAAGGTCTTCCAGGAGCCTTGTCCAGGCTGAAGAAGACAAAACTAGACCTGAAAGTAGGACTGAACTGCGGGAGGGCTTATGAAAGATTTTTTTTTCAAATGTTTTTGTTTTTGGTTTTTTTTTTCCACACAGGAAATTTAATTTCTTATTAGGATAGAAAAGGACAGGGAATATTATTTCCACACTTCCTTCCCTGTTGAATTTGTTACTGAGTTAGGTGGCAAAATCGTGCTCTGTAGCCTCCTTCCCACAATGTAGCCTCTGGGTGTTCCTGGAGCATGATAGTCACTCAAGAGAGAGAAGCTCCTGCCTTACCACCCTAACCCTGCAGCACTACAAGCCTCTGCAGGATGTCCTCCTGCCAAGTGATGATCAACGAGGATCCTCGTGGAACTTGTGAAGCACGGTGAATTGAGTTGTGAAGCTTAGTGTGCCCTTGCCCTTGCCATAAGCTCTCAAGTCACTTCTAATCTGAAAAGTTTCCAAGCAGTGGAGCTTGGTGTGACGACTGGGACAGATTATAGAGAACACTCTGCATGAGCAGGATGTAGGCAGTGTCCCACTTATTTGTTCTGATTTTGTCGCTCTGGTTAGATACTTTTGGTTTGATTTTTCATGCTGTACCTTAACCCTGTTATTATCAGGAAACATGGCTGAAGATCCTGTGCCCCTTCACCTCCCGGATAATGTAGTAAAAGGATCTGCCAGAGCTTCAATTTCCATCTCAGGTAAGCCATTTCTATTGTGAACTCACTGACCGATGTTACAGATGAGCAGGGCTTAACTTGGTAATGATGTCAGGGGAGCCATTTGAAATGACACTGCTCGAAAGAGAAAACAATAAGTTTCAATGCCCTGCAAGGTTTGCCAATAACATGGTTTCAAATTTTTTTTGGATATACACTTAGATTTTCATGAGAAAAGTAGGTTGCAGAGGAGAATAATCCTAATTTTTCTGGCTAGGACTTTGTAGCAGAGCCTTGGGGCCAAATTTTATCTGGGACTTTGGGATCTTGGCTAGTTCGGTGTAGATACAATCAGCAAAATTCATAACCATCTCATCCCCTGCTAAGTTTCAATGGTACAATAAAAGCTGCTGGAGAGAAGAAATCCTTCTCAGCATTACAAAGTCACAAAAGGATTATTTGGAGAGGCCACTGGGACCAGACAAATGTTTTCAATATGTTTCTTTGCACTGTGCTCCTTTGTCCCCATGTTCGTACTGGTATGAAACCAGGCCTGCCATAATTCCTCAAAGAAGACCTGAGACATCTCAATCTTCTCCTAAGTACTTCTATATTTGTCTGTCTGTATGACACAACCTGAGCAACTATAGCCCTGCTCAAAGCCCTTTACAATGTTGGAGCCCTTCACACTGGAAAAGTTCCTCAGAGACTCCACAGTGTGGTCATCCTGTATTGCATCCCCCCCAGACTGGGAAGATGAAGAATAGTCACCTTCATCCTATACTCAGTTGTTTCTTTCCATTTTCTTCTTTCTCCTTTGCTGAGTTAACACACTATTATCCAGGGCCTGGCTGAGAAGCATCTGAAATCATACTCAGACTTTCTTTGTTTCTTATATTGTTGCATAGGTGACCTCATGGGGCTTGTGTTACAGAACCTGGACCGCCTGGTGCAGTTGCCCCATGGCTGTGGGGAGCAGAACATGGTGCTGTTTGCCCCCATTGTCTATGTGCTGCAGTACCTGGAGAAGACGAGGCAGATGACCCCTGAAATCAAGGAGAGGGCAACGGGACTCCTGCACAATGGTAAGTTCAAGAGATCCACCTTGCTCCTCTGCTTTCCTCCATGTCTAATCTGCCAATCGCTCTCTTCCTTGCAGTTATTCTGACAGTACTGGCCTTTCTCTATTACTGTACTATATTAATCACTGTTTGTATTTCCCTAGGGTACCAGGCACAACTCCTTTATAAGCATAGAGATGGCTCCTACAGTGTCTTTGGGGAGCAGGATGGGGAAGGGAACACTTGGTAAGCAGTGGGAACATCCCTTGCTCCTAATTTGTCCTGTCTGGGCCAGAGCAGCTAATATGTCTGAGAAGAGCTGATAGGATGCGTGTTCCTTGTTTTGGATGGAGCCCCTGAGGAGCTGTTTAACATGGATACAGATTGAGGGATTGAGACACTTGAAAAAGGTATGAGGCAGGGCAGCAGAGTTTCTGGGAAAGTGGAACACAAAGATATGGTCTCAGGGGCAAGGAGATCCTTTTTTTTTTTTCTTTCTGTGGTCCTGCTGCTGCCCCAAACAGAGCAAGAGATTCTACTTGTGGAACCCCAGCAAGCCAAGAGGGGCAAATACTGACTGGAGGAAGATCAGGGAAGGGCAATGAAAAGTCATTTTTCCCATGGAGGGTTTTGCTTGGGAGAGTTTGCATGAACTGCATTGGCACTGTGATGGCTGGGCTGGGAGAAATGAAGAAATGAAGGAAATGGGGTATTCAAGATTGCGTCTAGGTGTTCAAGGGAGATGAGATGCAAGAGGCAAAGTAGAAGGGGTAGAGGTTTTTCACTTGTGAAATGACTGGGTAAAGCAGTACATCACTGTGTGGACCCAGGCTGAAGAAGAGAAGCTTCTTGGGTCCCAGAGACCATTTCCACTTTTAGTTTGCTTTTGCATATGAGAGATCCTTTTTTTTTTTTCCTTTTCTGCGTGTAAGAGTCTTTTTAAGCACCCTGATATGTCAGTGTTAACTTCAAAAACAAGCACCAGGCTTTCTTTTTTTTTTTGCTTTCTTTTTGTCTTTTTGTGTTTCTATTTCTCTCACAACTCATCTCTTCCTAGGCTGACAGCTTTTGTAGTCAAGAGTTTTGGCCAAGCCAAGAAATACATCTATGTAGATGATAAGAACATCCAGGATGCCTTACGCTGGCTAGAGCAAAATCAACTCCCCAGCGGCTGCTTTGCCACCAAAGGGAGTTTCTTTCATTCTTCTATAAAGGTAAATGAGAGACAATTCAGGCAGCACAGCTGGGGAATGGCTGGGCAGGTGTTGTGGCAGCAAAGGGTCATAGGATCACAACCGATCCTGGAAAGTCACTCATGCAAGTCATGCAACTAGACTTAAAGAGAGCAGGGTATGGGGTAGAGACAGAATAAAGAATGCCTTTCCTTCTGGGAAGTCATGTCATGAGCCTTTGAAACACTCCTTAGAGAGTGAAAGGTGCTTCAGGTCCTGGGGTGTCAGAATGACACACATGAGAGCCGTGGAGACCGTGCTTACGAGAGGCTCCAGGTGCAGGGCTGTGCCTCTGAACAGATGGAATCCCTCACCAGCAAGGGGTCTCTGGTGACTGGTGATTCCTCACAGTTTGTCTCTGGCAATGGATTCCCTTCACAGGGCAGTGTGGATGATGAAATCTCCTTGGGAGCATATGTCGCTGCAGCACTGCTGGAGCTGGGTCAGCCACTGAAGGTGAGCATAGACCAGCTGTCTCCTGCTCTCCCTTATTCTCCCATGCCTGCACCCTGCTATGGGGAAAAAGCTCATAATGTCGACATTCTCCAGGCCAGGAACACATCAAGGGCTGCTAAGAGGGAGACAATGTTTGGTGAAACTGAAGTAATTCCTCATAAGAGACAGTGTTGTAGCACTAGCATGGAGCAATAGTGGAGCAATAGTGTTTGGTGGCCATAGTTTCCAGCACACAATGGGGCTGCACTGCCTTTTTTATGCAAGAGAGGGTGATAATTTTGTGGGTTTCTCTGGAGCTACACCAGCAAGACATAGTCCCAGAGGGAGCCTGACCTCTGCTTTGCCCCTGCCAGTGTTTAGCACATCTTCTACCAATGCAGGGCAAGATGATGCAGAGTACCCTCCACTGCCTGCAGCAGGCAGTTCACAATGTCACCAGCATCTACACAGAAGCTGTTCTGGCCTATGCTTTTGCCCTGGCCGGAGACTATGAGACAACCCAGGAGCTGCTATACAAGTTGGAGGAACAGGCCATCAAATCAGGTAGGTGCTGGCTGCTTGTTGCAGTAATAGCTCTTGTTCACTTGCTGGGATTGGAGCAATGTACCCATGCATGTTGCCTAGCCAGAGCTGATAAATGTGGAATATGCTAACCTATGCAAGAGGGAAAAATAAATGCACCTGCTATTCTTGTATTTGTCCAGGAACTGCATCATGGTAACTGCAATATATTATTTAGCAAGCTGTGAGGGTGACTTATCAGAAATATTTTCCTCAGCCTGGAGGATTTAAAGATCTTATTGAGGGAGGGGGTAGAAACCTGTGTGCTAGGACTGGATAAAATCCTGGAGAACCAGCTTAACAAAGCGATACTGGCCTGAGAGTGGAGGAGCAGAAGGAGCTCTGAAAGCCCTCTACTGCTTGCTTTCTGTGTCCAGAACCCTCTGTTCCCTTCTCTCCAGATAGCCTGCACACTCCTTTTCTTTCTGCAGGAGGACAAATACACTGGAGCCCCAAACCAAGCTCCCCAGCTTCCACAGCCTTCTGGCCTGGCACTCAGTCAGTGGATGTGGAACTGACAGCCTACGTGCTCCTGGCGTACCTTTCCAAGCCACGGGTGCACGCAGGTGACATGACAACTGCAGCTGGTATCGTGGCATGGCTGACCCAGCAGCAGAATGCCTATGGGGGCTTTGCCTCCACCCAGGTAACAAGTAGCTCCATGTGGATCCATATACTTTTCTTCCTGAGGTTGGCAGGGCAAGTCTTCTCGAGGTCTTCCTGTCCCAAGCTGGCCTTGCTAGAGGTGATGTTTTCAGTGAGGTGACTGTCTCTTTCTCCCTAGGACACAGTTGTTGCCCTGCAAGCTTTAGCAAAATATGCAGCAAGGACCTTCAGCACATCAGGCCAAGCGCTTGTGAGGGTGAAGTCCCACAGGGGCTTTGGGAAGACATTCCAAGTCACCCGCCAGAAACGGCTCCTGGTGCAGCAGGCGGAGCTGACAGAGATCCCAGGGCAGTTCATGGTGCAGGCCCAGGGCAGCAGCTGTGTTTTTGCTCAGGTAAGGTGGTGGAGCGAGTGTTGGAGAGATGATAGATGGAGGATTCTGCCTCTTCTACCAGGATGAACTCATGCCTGGGCTGTCTTTTCCCTCCTGACCCTCAAACTGCAGACAGTGCTGAGGTACCACAAGTCTCCCCCACGGGCCACTGTAACCTTCACTCTGCGTGTCAACACAGAGCTGGCCAACTGTAGCCAGGCCAACACGCGTGTCCTCATTGTCCGCATCCTTGTCAGGTAATCCTGAGGGTTGTTTCCTCCTCCAGCAAGACTTGCTGTGCTTGGGGAGCGCAGCTGGAAAAGCCTCAGGGCTGTGATGGAGGGACTGAACGCAGGCAGGACAGAGGGTAAATTTGGCAGTAGTTAGGGGTGGAAGGGGAAGGTGCTGGCTACCTGCATCTCACCTCCTGTGAGATGATAAACTGTCTGCCTTGACCCCAGGCCCAGATGGCTCAGGGTCCTACACACAAGATACGGTGGTAAAGGGAAGGGGGGGCTCTATTCTCTCAGACAGACCCTCTGACTGTGTGATCTTCTTCAGCTACATTGGCAGCAGAGTCACATCCAACATGGTGATCATGGAGGTCTCCTTGTTGTCTGGATTTGTCCTGGCTCCAGGCTCCAGGCTGTCGGTAAGGAGTCTGGAATCAGAAAAAGGGTGGCTCTGGTAAATGGGTCCCACCTGCTTGCTGCTGTTGGGAGCTATTCATCCAGGCCATGAGGCAACTACATTAGGAATGACCCTTCACTGTTGAAATTGAACCAAAATCTCTCCATTTCCATACAAGGTCCTACAAGGACCACCCATGGAATTTCAAGGATGGTTCAGCTTCTCCCACTGACACTATTCTGTTAGGTGTGCTAAATAACAGTATTTGTTTGTCATGTGAAGATGAAAGCTGAATTATTTGCACAACACCCAGAGGTGTATTTAAGAGCATTCTAACAGTTAGTGAGATAAGATAACAACAGTCTTTACTTGTGCCTCTTTGCTGACCAGTGCATTAAGTCCTATATACTATCCACTGCCTTTTGTCCCCAAAGTGGGAGATTCCTCTAACTGAGCAGGGACAGCTTAGTCCATCCTTGAGATGAGGCTCACAAGGATGCTCCGGGAGAGACTACTGAAGATAGAGACAAGAAAACCCTTGCACATGCAAAAGACAAGATCCACAAAGAGTCCAGGTCTACCTTGTGCCATCAATACAACATCAGTACAAATTTACTTGTGTTGTTCTTTCCTGTCCCAGCTGGAGCGCAAAACCATCATTAAGAAAATAGAAGTGAAAGCTGATGTGGTCTACATTTATCTGGACAAGGTAAATGGGAATGACAGCATTAGGTTTGGCATAATGAGAGCAAGAGGTTAGAGGACAAGGAACTGTGTGAGAAGGCCAAGGCTGGGCTAGCCACGGGGAAATAACACTAGTAGAACTGTGGGCAGAAGAAGCTTGCTTAATTTCATCGTTGTACATTTAGCATTTGCTATTTGTTACATACTCCATTTCTAAAATCCAGAATCTCTGATGGGTTAAAGAGATTTTTTACAGGAAAGCATTCAAGCTGGGAAAAATGAAGCTGCAATGTCTTCTTTCTTCCCTTCCTTGCTAATTTCTTTCAATCTCCATAAGCTCAATGATGAATCTCAGACTTTCAGTCTGCAACTGGAACAAATATTTGAGATGAAGAACCTGAAACCGGCCACCGTCAAAGTCTATGATTACTACCAGCCAGGTGGGTTGGTGATTCCCTTCCTACTCTGAGATGGGGAGCTGGATTCCTAGTTCTCTGGATGTGACTTGTAAAGTCATTGTGTGCTATTTCTTGTGCACATTCATGTATGTGTAATTGTCTTTCTCGTTTCCTTTTGCAGAGGAGCGAGCCTTGGCTGACTACAGTGCTGTCTGTAGCTGAGGTAGGCAACAAGTCCCTGTGTGATACAAACAGTGGCATCAGGAAATGATGGGTCTTGGGTGGGAGAGAGGGAATGTCTGGGGAGCTTGTGAGCAATCTGAGGTGGGAAGGAGAACAGTAGTCATTGGGGAGTATATGTCCAGCAAGAATGAGGAACAGCCAGGTGCCTGTGGCTGGGTGTGTAGAGCTAGGCTTTTTCAGACAGGAAAGCAGCTGAAAGGCTCTGGCTAACAGCAGATACAGTCTTAAAATGGGAGTGAGGAAGGAAAGACTGAGAGCATGGTGACTGCATCATGTAGGGTGAGAATGCAGAGCTATAGTGGCTTGCACTAATGAGGGTCTTCAGACCCAGACAACTGCTCCAGTCCCTCCCCAGCCCCTGATACCTTCATTGCTGGGTAGAAAGGGGGGATTCCGGGAGACAAAGGAGCAAGATGAAGCTGAGAAGACATAATATTTTGTCTTGTGGGGTGACAAAAACAGCTGTTAGAAAGGGGATGGCTTGTTAGTAGCAGCCTGAGGTGAGGACAGGTTTGGATCTGTCTTTTCTGGGAGAATAAAGCAGAATTTTGATATGGCATATGCTTCATCCTGACATAATCCCACACACAGAGCACTGTGGGACCTGCCTATACAGATCCTAGGGATCTTCCTAAAGAGCCACTGGCACTGCTATCCAACACAAGTCTGGTGATAGCCATGGAGGTGCTGGATCACTCCCTCCTTGTTTGCCTTACCTTCTGTTCCCCACATGCACATGGTTCCTCAGAAAGGAGAGGAGGCAGTCACAGTTTTGTGGTAAAGGAGAAGTGAGAAACTGCCACACCATGACTTCTGCCTTTGCCCAATGTTTCAGGTTGGGGACTGAATGGAAGGAGATGCCCCAGATACCCCCAGTAGAAGGACACTGCCCCCATTAAAGTTGAGCCCGTGTGGTCTTGTGCCTGAGTGGATGGACTTAGGGATCACAACGGTCCAGCTGTTGTGCCTGCACTGGGAGGGGGCTGGGCTGTGAGGGGGAGCTGTTATATATCTGGTATATTCCTGGGAAGAAGAATTAAAGTAAGCATCACCCCTGACCTTGCTGTCATTGTGCCAGTTGTTGATGAACTGCAGGCTTAGCCCACAAGGATACCATTTCTGCCATCGACAATGTACAAACTTTCTATCTCCTCCACTGCTCTCTCCTCATGGTCCCCAGCACTTTCTGCTGAGTAGGACCCAGGCAGCTTTGGGGTATAAGGTGCAAGTGTACATGCTGTGACAGCCATATCTCATACATCCTTCCTGCAAGCTCCTGTATTCCTGCTCTTGAAGCAGGCTCCAGAGAGGAATGCAGCGTGATTGACACTGTAGCCTCTCAACCCCTCTCAGCAGTAAATCCTTGTCAATTGCTCTTGGTAAAGTTCTTTAAGTGTAGCTGTTTGCCAGAGAACTGTTGAACATATCCCAGTCCTCCCTTGCCTTTGACTAAAGCTTATCTGTTGGTCACAGCCACCAAGTACAAACTCTGCCTTGGCACATGCTCTACCTTCTCCTGAGCAAGTCTGCTACTGGCAGGGCAGAGTTTAGAACTTGTATATGCAAACACAGAACAGAGTTGTTTTGCCCATGTTCTCCTAAAGATGATTTTCCTAGTTTGGAAGAAAAACAGTAAACCTGAATGATCACTCAACCAGACACTTCTAGTCTACTGACTTTTAATAAGAAAGCTGGGATAGTCCTAGCCTTTAGGAAACTAATTGCTCAGAAGGTAATTTCAAGTATTTTCTCTTTGTTTCTCATCTCCATGTGGTGGCTGTTAGCAGGGATGACAAAGGACTGATGGACAGAGACTGCAGAGAATGTCTGTTCCTGTTCCTGTGGAGACAAAAAAAAGGACAAAAAAGTCTGTGTTCCGGAAGTATTAAAACTAAACATTGGGAACCCAAGGGCTTTATTTTGTGCCTCGTGACCAAACAAGACTGCCAAGGACAGAGCTCTCTCTGGCTGTCCTACAAGTGCATCTTAGCTGCCTGTAAAAAGCCTGCAGCAGCATCTTCACCAAGAATGTGGGGCTTGTGGCAGGCATCCCAGGGCAGGGCTGTGTGTCTCCCACAGGTGACCCATGAAGCAGGTGTTTTTCTCCATGTTGTGGACTGAAGACAAGGAAGCATGGGGATGCAGCAAAGTTTAGAACATGACCAGACACTCAGAGTTCAAGCATTGCCTTTGCCCAGCCTGGAAGCGGGATGGGACAGGTATCCATTCCCTGGCACAGCTCAGAAGGCTGCAGAAGGCTTGGCATTGAAAAGAAGTCAGGCCTTGCAGTAAAGCTGACACAGCATGTTGCATGGACAGGTCTGGAGGGTTGCAGAATTGCAGGACAAATAACACAAATAGGAACTGTGTTAAGTATACTCAATACAAAATGCCAGGACTGGTGGTAAGACTCAGGACAGTCAACCCTTGTTTTACGAAACATGCCTTCAGCTCTATTAAGAGCTGGTCACCTCAAATTTTCCACTTCAAATTCAATTCTCCCTTTCCTCAGTTTAACCACTGGGACACAGGAATTCACCCTTAACCTCGCTAATTGTTCCCTACCCTCAGTGTGTGGTGTCGAAAGTTTCTTGACCAAGAGCCCTTGCCTGCATCCCCCTCCCTCTCCAAACTCTTCAGAACTGTGCCTGTGAAGACAAAACAGGTGTCCAGCCCTCACCTCATGTGCAGGGAGCATTGTAGCTGATCACCGTTGTTTCTTCTGAAAGAGGAGAGAAAAACGTACCAGTGAGATACACTTTCCAAAAACTCCCTAAAGCAACCCAGCATTATGCCTCTGTTTCTAGAAGAGGTGTCGCCTTAGCTTACAGCCCACGTCTCCCCTCTGCTTTGACACATGGAACCACTTGCATGTAGCAAAGATTCGGTGCTGCAGCTAGCTTGGATTCACCCAGGCTACGGGGCTGGTGAGCTGTTGAAGCCTTAATTTCCAAACAGGTCAGTTATCGTTATGGACTCCCCACTTTCTGAAGTAATAACAATCATAGACACATTTCCAGCTTTTCCTCCTGCTAAAGATCTCAGGGAACAAATTATTACTGTCATTCTTCCAAACCATCCCCTCACCACAGTGACTACAGTCCCTTTCCTTTGTTGCCTCCCACAAAACGAGTGTACAAAAGCATGGCTCCGAGCTTCTCGCCTGTCTCTTGTTGGAAGAGTTAGACATTAAGTGGAGCCACATGCCAACTTCAGGCTTGCAAGTTCTGAGTCCAGAGAAAGAAAAATCCACTGTTTTGAAGCCCAAGAAGGTAAGGCCACCACTAGAGAGTTTCTAAGGTGCAGTTAAATAAACATGCTAGGGATGGTATTGTCATAAACCAGAAAGCCTAATTTCAGAAAGACAGCTTCAGAAAGTTCCTCCCAGTGGGACATTTCTGTGATTTCTGCAGTACAGCATCTAAGCTCACCTGGCATGTAGTAATCATAAACCTTGATATTAGCCGGCTTATGGTCTTTCACTGGCATGTCCTGCTGCATCAGCAAAGTGTAGGCATGAGGCTGTCGAGTCAGCTAAGACCAAGAGATGCACAGATTACAGCCAGAACCAAAGTCGTGTAAGACAATCCCTTCCACCTGCTCTCACCCAGGCTGCTGTGGAGACCTCACCACTGCAGCAGATCTGCTCTGCCTTCTAGTCCATCTCAAAAAAAACCCTTTTACTTCACATTCTGTGGCCATCTCCCATTTTGTGTCTCCAAAATTTACTCAATTCATGAAAGGCATCAAGTCCACAGAGTCAATGTGCATTCAGTATATAAATACAGAGTTGGCATTCCCAACCAATCCCACATTCCCATCCAGCTCTTCTCCTTCATGTATTTTGCCACAGTGGCTACTTGCTTATATGAAGTCCTATTGCATCAGCTCTTATTCTGTAGCCTCACACAACTCTCACCATGAAGCAGCCACATCCAAGCTGTGGATTAACATCTGTTGGATGATGGTAGTTACACAAGATGTTGATGGTCAGTTCCATCTTGTGCTACCAGGCAGCTGGAGCTGAAATCTTTCTCTGCCCTGTGCTGTACATGTAACAAAAGCAGTCCTCCTGCAAGTCTAATGCATTACAATAACCAGCTTTCTATGAGGATAACTTGGTTAGGCTGAATGACAGCTTGATATAAAGAATCACAGAACAGTAGAAGTGCTCCTTGGAAATTCAGAATTTTAAATTCATGCCAGCTCGTGTTTCTTTTGCTGTATATATCACAGAATCACAGAATCACAGAACTTCTAGGTTGGAAGAGACCTCAAGATCATCGAGTCCAACCTCTAACCTAACACTAACAGTTCCCACTAAACCATATCCCTAAGTTCTACATCTAAACGTCTTTTGAAGACTTCCAGGGATGGTGACTCCACCACCTCCCTGGACAGCCTGTTCCAATGCCTCACAACCCTTTCAGTAAAAAAGCTCTTCCTAACATCTAACCTAAAACTTCCCTGGCGCAACTTTAGCCCATTCCCCCTCGTCCTGTCACCAGGCACGTGGGAGAACAGGCCAACCCCCACCTCTCTACAGCCTCCTTTAAGGTATCTGTAGAGAGCGATAAGGTCGCCCCTGAGCCTCCTCTTCTCCAGGCTGAACAAGCCCAGCTCCCTCAGCCACTCCTCGTAGGACTTGTTCTCCAGGCCCCTCACCAGCTTCGTTGCCCTTCTTTGGACCCGCTCAAGCACCTCGATGTCCTTCTTGTAGCGAGGGGCCCAAAACTGAACACAGTACTCGAGGTGTGGCCTCACCAGAGCCGAGTACAGGGGGACGATCACCTCCCTAGCCCTGCTGGTCACGCTGTTTCTGATACAAGCCAGGATGCCGTTGGCCTTCTTGGCCACCTGAGCACACTGCTGGCTCATATTCAGCCGACTGTCCACCATCACTCCCAGGTCCTTCTCTGCCTGGCAGCTCTCCAACCACTCATCTCCCAGCCTGTAGCTCTGCTTGGGGTTATTGCCTTTTCCTCATCTCTTGTAACTAAGTTTCCCCCCGCATCCAGTAAAGGATGGAGATTCTCCTTAGTCCTCCTTTTTGTGTTGATGTATTTATAAAAGCGTTTTTTGTTATCTTTAACGGCAGTAGCCAGATTGAGCTCCAGATGAGCTTTGGCCTTCCTAATTTTGTCCCTGCACAGCCTCGCTACATCCTTATAGTCCTCCCTAGTGGCCTGTCCACTTTTCCAAAGATTATAAACCCTCTTTTTTCTCCTAAGCTCAAGCCACAGTTCTCTGTTCAGCCAGGCTGGTCTGGCTATATGTCTACATACAGCCAGAGAAAACCTGGAGTGGTCGATAATCTGTTGATTAATGAGGCTGTGGAGTGAGCACTGCAGCTCACACAACCACCTGGTTTAATTTTGGGTGATCTTGGCAAACTCCATGTGCAATCCAGGATGTGCCCTACTAAATTCAAGCCACTTAAGGGCTTTCTAAGAATTCAGACTGGCTTGAATTTACTGGGTGGATACTCCTACCTCTCCAGTCCTGATCAGACACTGTATATGGACTTTCAGCAGTCTCTGAACAGTGCCAGCAGATGTAGTCTTATCATCAGTTAGCTGCATTTCACTTAAGTGGCCCCATATACAGTCTCTAAAGCTGAAATACTGCAGGCTGACACACATACTTCTCCAGGTTAGCAAATGTGGCTGGTACGCAGAACAGCAGTTCTCAATACTTAATATAATAATAGAGCCAAAATGCATGAGTAAGCTAAAAGCTATCTGCCAGCCCACAGTCCTCTTAATGATGACATTAATCTAAATTCACTCACTTCCTCCAGGTAAAGAACGACTCGGTCAGCTTCACTTTCAACTTTCTTCACTAAGGGCATTTTCTTTAGCTGAAAAAAAAAAAGTCAGAAAAACTCTATCAGGAAGCAGAAATATTCAGGGATATTTGACCTTAGCATGGGTAAAATGTTCATATGGCTAAGAAAGTGCTTGGGGTAGGAAAAGGCAGTAGGAAGAAAAGGTGAAGATCACTGTGTGGCTTGGAAGAGACTCTGGGTGTAAAGATTTACTAGAAGGAAAAGAACAATGTTTCTCTGCCCACAGAAATGATGATGGTTCTGCATAGAAACCTGCACAACGCACATCTGCCACCACTCCCATCCCAGCTGGACACAAACTTGTGGTCTCACCTCATCCAGTGAATCTGCCACGGGGCTGTATCCAGACAGCAGCTCCACTTGGATCAGGACCATGTTGGTGGACACACGGTTCCCTGTGTAGCTGCAGCAGGAACCCAGGGGATAGCACTAATGTTACTTTCTGAGCCATGATCTCCA